AAAAATATCTTGATTATCCCCAAGACTTTTGGGCAAATATTCTGTGTACTGATGCCACAAAAGTTGAACTTTTTGGAAGTTGTGTGTCTCGTTACATCTGGCGTAAAACCAACACAGCATTTCATAAAAAGAACATCATACCAACAGTCAAACATGGTGGTGGTAGTGTGATGGTCTGGGGCTGCTTTGCAGCTTCAGGACCTGGACGACTTGCCATAATTGATGGAACCATGAATTCTGCACTCTATCAGAAAATCCTGAAGGAAAATTTCCAGCCGTCAGTTTGTGATCTCAAGCTCAAGCGCACTTGGGTTATGCAGCAGGACAATGATCCCAAACACACCAGCAAGTTCTCCTCTGAATGGCTCAAGAAAAACAAAATTAAGGTTTTGGAGTGGCCAAGTCAAAGTCCGGACTTGAATCCGATTGAGATGCTGTGACCTGACAGTCCATTCATGCTCGAAAACCCTCCAATGTGGCTGAATTAAAACAATTCTGCAAAGATGAGTGGGCCAAAATTCCTCCACAGCGATTTGAAAGACTCATTGCCAGTTATTGCAAACACTTGATTGCAGTTGTTGCTGCAAAGGGTGGCAGAACCAGTTATTAGATTTGGGGGGCAATTACTTTTTCACGCAGTGCCAGGCAGGTTTGGACCGCTTTTTTCCCTTAATAAATTAAATAATTATTTCAAAACTGCATTTTGTATTTACTCGGGTTATCTTTGTATAATATTAAAATTTGTTTGATGATCTGAAGAAAAATAAAAAATAAAAAACAGGAAGGGGGCAAAAACTTTTTCACTGCACTGTATATATAACAGTCCATCTTAAAGTAACTTGCAGTTTAATGTTTTGACCAGAGATGGCGATAGAGAGCTTATCAAAAATGGACTTCCGAAATATTATAAAAATGTGAAATATGGGTCCGTTCAAATCAAGGATGATAACAATAACTATAAAGTTTTAATTCCACACCACAACTATAACGATAATGATAACAACGCAGAAGAACAGTGTAGTTGGATTCATTTTCAAAAGCCAATCAGAATCCATCCTGCTTTAAAGAGCTCAAGCATTTACAGGGGCTTACAACAAAACTGCAGTGCATGGTTAGAATAAACGTTATCACATGTTGATGTGGATGCTAATATTCTTATTGTTATCTTTTTAGTTATCGTATTTAGTGTGAACAGACCTTTAATCAGAAAATGAATTTGAATTTCCTGCTGTTAGTAATTAATTTTTTTAGAAATGAAAATATTCCTTGTTTTATTCAGTTTTAGTCAGTTTATTTTTACAATTGCAGTTCAAGTTGTAGTTATTTTATGTGCTTTTGTAATTTATTATTTTTAATATTTCTATTTAGCTTTATTTTTATTCCAGTTCTAGCTATAGTAATTGTTAGTAATATCTAGAAATGTTTACTTAATACAGTAATTTAGTATAGCAATTAAAAAACAATTGTTTCAAAAGTTTTTTTATTTTAATTTCAGCTTTATTTCAGTTAATGAAAATTTTTCAATTAAGTTTTAATTGTTTTAGTTTTAGTTAACAATAACACTACTCACTACTAAGTTATACAGCGTAAGGCTTTCACCATTGTCTTAAGGTGTGTGTGTCAGCATGTGTATATCTCATAAACAATAATATTCTCAATGCCACGTGTTTACTATCTTCCAGAATAAAGCTCTCTTCCACCAGCTGAGTCTGAAGGAGAACTGGCACCCTGTGAGAGGAGCTCAGAGGGACAGGAAGGAAGGTAAGCTCATAAAATATTCCCTCATATTTCTCTCCTACACTCTCATAGCGTTCTGAATGCCTACAGAGCTGCTGGAGAACCACAGCAGGTCGTTTATGAATAACACTATGTGAGAATCTTGTTTTATGGCATTTTTATGTGAATTGGTTGCTGACTGATGCAGCGCTGGATGTTTGTGTGTGTGTTTCTCCTCAGTGTTGTGTCGTGTGTACATGACCATAGACTCATACGTGAGTGTGAGGACACACGGCGAGGTGTCCGTTCAGGAACTGCTGAGCACTGTGGCCGAAAGGCTCGACTGTGCTGAGGATGACATGGTGCTGATGGCCGTCACATATCCTGGAGGTCTGAACAAGTTCTTACATCTGTCTATTTTCATATTGATTGCTTTGTGTTTGTTTTAGACATACCTGTCTGCAGGGGTGCCATCATGCTTTTAAACAAGTCATTAGAGGAAAACAGAGCTAAAAGCCTGTCTTGAAGGTGCTGTATGTAATTGTTTTGACTGTTCTAAAGCATAAAAAATACCATAATATGTTTGCAGATATTTAGGAAGTGTTAAGCTCACATCCTTGTTTCCCCAAAAAACAATGCTAAAGCCAGTTATTCTACTTTGAATGTGCATTCTGTGTCGGAATGTCTGTTTTTGTTTTGGTCCGTGTGATTCCGCCCACTGCCAGTTTAACCAGTAGTAATTTGATACACTGGGTTGCCAGTTAGTGGAAAACGCAGTGTACTGCATCTTTCCTGTTACATGTCCTCAATCTGGCAACTCGCGTTAGCATTAAGTTTGAGGAGGAGGGAGCGGGCAAAACAACTTTCTCCAATATTTTGAATTTGGACTGCAGTACCCATTTCTGCCGCTAACTGTCAATATTATAAACTGCACCTTTATTTTTTTCTGATCACAGTGTATATGATTATTGAAAATATGTTTCTGGTTATTTAAAATTATCAAGCAACATAATTTGTCTAACAATAAATGGTAAAAATTGATTTAAAATTATAATATATTAAGTTATACAATCATAAATATAAGGGCCGTTAAGAGGGACATCCACATTTAAGCCAAAAGACTCCCAGAGGGAAATAGTATAGACATTGGTGAAAAAGTGATAAGGCAAAATTTGTCTTCATATGCAAATACTTTTGATATAGAAAGAGATTTTTGGAGTAACATTTCATTTTTCAAAATAACCACTTCAGCAAATTTTAGTGGTTCGCCAGTTTTATTTTATTTTACTTTTTCCTACTGACCAAATGGTTCTTGGGACCAAGTAAATTTTTTCTAAATAATTTTTTTGTTACCTCTTGCTGCTTTCTCTCCATTGTTATTCCTCTCTCTCTCTTTCTCCAGAGAAGGTTCTGCTTCAGTCGGATCAGTGTGTGTTCTCGTCTTCACTCAGTGCCGCTGAGCGGCTGCACGTCTGCAGAAGAGACCTGACTGAGATCATGGTGAGAGTCAGAATGCTGTTCTCTGAACTGCTCTTAAAAGAAATCTGCTTTCCACTCCATTAGTTCAAGTCTACACACAACTGTACAACTTTAAAGGCATAGCATTCTAAACTTTTCTTGCACCAAAGTTTCTGCCAGTATTTTATGCCAGAAACAAACTCTATGCAAGTACAAAAATAAACTTGAACAGTATACAAAAATAATATGTTACTCAGGAGAGCCAGTAGTGTTACATTCTCATATGCTGGATCAGGTTGCAGATTATCGAATAGGTGTTGATATGCAAATTTGGGTGGTCATATGTTAATATGCTTGTGGTTCTAATTTGTGATTGACCCACTTTATCTTAGTATTCATAAATGGTTTGATTCAACTGGGAAGGGACTATGTATACATATTACATTAAACTCTTAATTTAAAAGAGCAAGTCAAATCCTTTTGTTCATGATATGGCCCCTTTAAATCAGACAAATAACAATGTACTTGAGTGTCTGTCTTCTGTTCTCATAGAGTCCCTTCACTGATAATGGGCAGCAGCGCTCAGTAAAGATGCTGAGCATGAACACGTGGGATGTAGCCGTGTCGCTCACCAACTGTGACTGGAGTCTCTTTAGTAATGTCCATGAGGTAAAGTCTTCACATTTCAGACAGTGCAGCACTAGAGAAGGTGTCCTAGAAAGGATATCTTTGAAATACAAACTAAACTAAAGCAAAATTTACATTTAAAATCAGCCAATTATGTAGTGAATATTGACACAAAGAGCCAGTTTAAACAACTACATTTTAAAAATATTTTTTAAAAATTACACCAATTATGTAGTGAATATTGACACAAAGAGCCAGTTTAAACAACTACAGCATTAAAAAAAAAAAATTTTTTTAAATAACACTTTATTTTAAGGACCAGTTCTCACTTTTAACTAGTTACTTATTAGCATGCATATTACTATTAGTATTTATAAAGCACATATTAATGGCTTATTCTGCATGCCTTAATCTAACCCCATACCTAAACTTAACAACTACCTTACTAGCTATTAATAATCAGCAAATTAGGAGTTTATTGAGGTAAACGTAGTTAATAGTTAGTAGTGAGAACTGGACCTTAAAATAAAGTGTGACCCGAATCCCACACCCACGATAGCATTCTGTTTACTAAGTGTGCGCTGCAAATTTAGTAAAATCGTTGTCATTACTGACTGGGTGTGCGGAAGTGATCACATTGCGTGGAATTATTGCATAATATCTGTTTTCATATAGTAGATGTTTAAATATTATATATAATCAAGTTTGGTAACACTTTAGTATAGGGACCAATTCTCACTATTAACTAGTTGCTTATTAGCATGCCTATTATTAACATGTTGGCTGTTTTTTAGTGCTTATAAAGCACATATTTTACATGACCATATTCTACTTAACAACTACCTTACTAACTATTAATAAGCAGCAAATGAGGAGTTTGAGGCAAATGTCATAGTTGATAGTGACAATTGAACCTTTAAATAAAGTGACCGAAAAATCTGACATTATTTACTTACCCTCCATAAGACTTTTGTTCATCTTCAAAAATAAATAAATCAATAAATATCTTCAAATATGTCTCCATTGAAAGTAAATTCACCCAAAACTTTGAGGATTATTCTCACTGTATACTCGGTGTATGTGTGTTGATCAGTGTTTACATGCGAATGAAACTAAAATGAAAAATAAAGTAATTAAATCTATTCATCATATAACACAATCATTTATCTTAGTTTAAGACTTGGATTAAAGTGCTTGATTCATATGGATTACATTTACTATGCCTTTATACACTTTTTCATTAAAATATACTATAATATAAATATTCATTAAAAATACCTTCATTTGTGTTTCAAAGATGAACGAAAGTCTTTTTGGTTTGGAACGGACATGAGGGTGAGTAAATGATGACAAGAGTTTACATTTTTGGGTGAACTTTGGGTGAAATCAACGTGACAATGGTCATTTTAAGAATATGGTTGATTTGTAATTCATAAATTTAATACTGACTGTCAAAAAAGAATCTTCTAAAATATCCAACAGCCATGTCATTTTTCCTTTCTCTGCAGCAAGAGCTGGTATACTTTACTCTGAGCCGTGACACGAGCACTGGCCACATGGTGGCGCTGGAGCAGCTGTTGCAGCGCTGCAATGAGACTCAGCAGTGGGTGATGACCGAAGTACTTCTGTGCCCGACCCTCTGCAAACGTGTGCAGCTCTTCAAGAAATTCATCAAGATCGCAGCACAGTAAGTATACGCTCACAAACCGAAAATAATCTCACAGACTTGTGCTGAAGGACCACAGCCATATCCAAGCTCAAGAATATCATACACTTTTTGACTTGGGCCGGCAAGCAACCACCTAACAGCCCAAAACATCCTAGCAATCACATAGTAACGTGCTTAAACCTCTAAGAACACCCAGACATTGTGGCGGCATGTTTCTTAAAGGGGTCATATGATGCGATTTCAAGTTTTCCTTTCTCTTTGGAGTGTTACAAGTTGTTCGTGAATAGATAATATCCCTAAAGTTGCAAAGACTAAAGTCTCAAACCCAAAGAGATATTCTTTATAAAAGTTAAGACTCGTCCA